TTTAAAAATTATAACGGATACTTGGACTAAGTAAATCTGACTTTAAAAAAAAAATCGAATTAATTCTCCATGGCTTAGACTTTAATACTAATTATTCAATTTAATGCAATTTATAATAATAAATGCATCAAATTAGGAAACTTAATATTTCTGGAAATATAATCGAGCTCCATAAATATAAATAAAATACTAGGCGTTACAGCAAGCTACTGGAATTATATAAACTTGTGGACCTGAGGTTTGTGTTTTAGACTTACTGCTTGTTTGTGTGTGCATAACTTTTCCGACGCTTGGGTTTTGAAGCTCACATATGCGTCTGTATGGATCTTTGTCTGTATTTTTCTGCTCAAATATCAGTCATTTGCTTCGCTACCTTCATTTTTTTTTGATTTTTTTCCTCTTAAAAAAACGCCTATTTCTCTTTTTTTTTTGTGTTTTTTTTAATTCTTGTTGGATGCTTATTTCAACATACAGACACACTAATAGAACATGTAACTCAATTTGCATATACATAACACGATATAATTGCTTGTTACATTGGGGGCATTTGAAAAAACAACCTTAATTAAAGGAAAACCACCTTAAAACATATATAAGGATTACTTATTGTTGCACACTTGTTTGTTACTAGCTTTTTTGCAAACTGGAGTGGTCGAGATTTGTTTAGTTCTGAGTTGCTTATTTAGTTGGTTTTTTTTGGCAGGTCAGTTGCGTGCTTGCAGATCTTCGATGAACATGTGTGCCAAGGGATTGTTTTGTGTGTGTTTGCAGAAGCTGCTGTGGTGGGGTAAATCACAACAAGGAGATTCATGGTGTTATGACGTACCATAATCTGAGTTGTTCAGTCATGGTTTCTTCAAGATGGCTTAGGTGCAGTTTTGGCTCTTTGGTTTTCATGGGGGCGCAGTGGTGTGGCCCGCTGGTGGTGTTCAGATGTGTACACTTTCGGTGCTTTCGCTGGTTGACGCATGTCCACAACTCCATCACTTTTTTACTTTTATACTATTGGGTTCACTTTTGTTTTTCGTTTCTTCCAGAGTTTTTTGTTGGGGGTTTTTTTTTCCCTGTTTTGTTGTTTCCATATTGAGGCTTAAAAGTAATGTTCATATGTGCACGCACATGTAGTCCAAAGTTAGTCCTTTTGATATCAAAATCAACTTCAACCTGAAAGAGTACGAGGAAGATATAAAGACGAGAGGCTATTCGCGGTCTTGGTTATAGTGTTCTGCAACTCATAGATTCTTATAGTTTGTGAATAATATTATAAGCGGTGATGGCTTCGTCAAGTGGAAGGATGGTTTTCGTGTATGTAATGTGCGTGTGTAATACGTTGTCTTTGTAGTATCATGAAAGAATATTGTTGTCAAGCTTTACTCTTTGCTTTACTCTTTGTTGTTATTATGGACTGAATATAAGCTCGGTATAATGAAGCTTAAATTTGCCACGCAGTGGAAGCTTATTACCATAAGCAATCAACTAAAAGCACTAAAGCACAAACACACAAGAAAGTAACACCAAATCTTTCAAATCCATCAAACATATGGGACTCATTTACATGGAAACTATAACTCTTGCAAAAATCAGCTTACGAATAGGAAAATTGGTTCTAGACTAACTTAAGAGCCTTGGTCCCATGAACTCAGCCAATCAAACCGGCCTTCACAAAAGAACGTATAAAAATTGTACCAAAAAAAATGTATAAAAAGAATCAAATCATTTCGCACATGCTAAAATAACAAAGCGTATGACAAAGAAAGTCCAACACAATTGAATTAATTTGGATCCATTTAACAACAACACCAAAATAACACAAAAAAAACCTCAGACCTCATCTTCATGGTTATCAAGAACCTCCTTGATCATTAAAGCCTCCCCATAAAACTGAGATCTCTCCTCAATCTCATCATTAAGTGCTTCAACATAACAATAACTATCATCCCTAACCTGATTTACAAAATTAACGGCACAAGATGGTTGTTAACAGTATTTACTTCAGCCTACTACACTGTTATTAATCGCCTGGATAACTAAGGACTTTAAACCTTCTCAAACAAGCAAGGGGCCCAAAGAATGAAACGCATTAGGTATTAAGTAATGGATATCTAGCATATATTGTTTGGCGTTTCGTTAGGTCAACAGAAGTTATTAGTGTAGAATCATGAGGTCGTGGATAAAACTTCAACCCATTATGCTTCAGCATGTGCATCTAAAGGTCGAAATACCTGGTTGTTCAAAAGTAATAAATGTGCGTACGGAAATTGCAAGCAATTATGTCTCAAACTACGTCGTCAAATTGTGGCGTGGAGATATTATACATGTTTTTTTGTTTTTCTAAATTGCTTTTCAAGACCCTTCTTACAGAGAGTTGTTTTCGTGTTATCTTAGTGCTGCAGTCCCATCATAAAACGGTTGAGACTCGCAGAGATGGTAGCATTTGTAAAAAATATATTATCCAATCCAAGCAAGATTAGATTTATCCAAGAAATTCGCGGGCCACCGTATTGATTGCATTTGCTGGTGGCCTTCGTCAACAAACTTTCTTGCCCGATGCAAATGGTTTCATTCTAAATCCCCACACTCCAAGCAAATTGCTTTAGAAGGTCTGTGATGGGTGGCAAATCGAGTGTTCTTGTTCATTTTAAATGTGTAAATTGCTTAGAAAATATGACATTTTTTGTTAAAAAAATATTACAAGATATGATATTGCTGTATTAAACCGACTTTAACATAAAATCTACGTTATTTGCTATATTTTTCAATTTTAAATTTCAATTAATTATTTGAATAAAATAATTAATTGGAATAAAAACCAACTTCGATATGGTTGTTTCATTTACACAATACATGTTACAATTGAATGTTGTATTTATAGGAAAAATAAAAATAATTATAAATATTTTGTGTGCACAATGGGTTGGGTATTTATTTTGTTGGTGCTTAATTTTATCGCCGTAATTTAAAATGAACTTATAGGCATCGTTTAATTTGATTGAATAAACCTACCCAAGCACTATGTTTGTCTGACATTAGCCGATACTTTGTCAGTGGCCCAATACTGTGCACTGCCTGGTGCAAGCGCCGTCTTCGCTGAAAATCCGGTCAAGGATTACAGCATCACCTTATTGTACGAAAAATCTTTTACCCGTATGTATCGACCGAATCGCGTCTGGCCCGCAGAGTTTCATTGGTGATTTCCCCTTATTGCAGTCGTGCTCTTTGGGAATTAGGTTTGTACGGTTCTTACTGATTTTAAGCAATAGAATGGCAGTTTCAACGCTTGCGCTTGTGCACGCAAGAAAAAGGATATTGAAGTGGCAAAAAATCAGGCCGCAAGCCAGGATGCGTATGTTTCGTTGACTGAATCTACGTGGGGTTATTTTTTTCTACCGTATGCACGTCTCCGATTTTGTATTCTGATTTTTTTACTCTCACAAAGTTCTTACTTATTGGCTGAAAATGTGATATGACTATCTATTAGGAATGCAGGTTTAGTGAGGATGGCAGCGGTTCGGGTTCGGATCGGATGGAACCTCAGGGCACCCAAAACCAAAACCCAAACTTAAAAACCAAAACCAAAACCAAAACTGTTTCGGGTGAAAATCCTT